TGGCTCTTCCCCAACTCAATTGGTGTAGGATAGCCAGTACTCGGGCTACTTGTATATTGCGATCCAGGGCCACATGAAGAATGAGAATAAGATGGGCCCTTATCCGTTGTTTGTTGCCAATATGGTTGTTGAGGTGGTCCAGCTACTGGGGATAGACTAGCAGACATATCCCTCAAGCTTTCTGGGGAAAGAAATGACGATGCTCCTGACGCCGGGTGGGATGGAACGTAATGGTCGGAAAGACGACGGTTGTGTGATTCTTGAGGGTTTTGCGGTTTCTGGGAAAACGCAGTCGATAGTGATGAATATATGCTTTGCGGTATGCCATTTATAGGGCCAAAGCGGTCACTGAGTGTATCTTTTATGGACGGAAGGTTTTGGTTGTTCTTTGGTGATTTGGCAGAGGCCGATTCAGGAATGGATTGCAACGCGGGGAGCGTGTCTCCAGCATCGCGACCTTGAGTGGATATCGTATATTGTCTTAGATTAGGGGAGGTGGCTACCAATTCCTTCGCGCGTCCACGGGTCTGGGATTCCAGAATTGGAGATGAAATCATCCCGCTAGGCAGTTGGGCCGCAGTCGCCTGGGGTTCTAGGAAACTTGGCGGTCGAGATGGTGGGCGGATCTCTCCACCAAAAGTTCTCTCTATTTTGCCACGCGGCCCTTGAGACTCTGCTGGGAGGTCATCTGCAATAATTAAATCCAACGCATGCTGGGCTGTTTGTCGGGCATGGGATCTAAGGATATCTGGCATGGAAGATTCGTGTAGCCCCCTCCCTACGTCCGGAGAACGATAGTCATCAGGGCTGCCGGCTTCGGGCGGCGAATCAGTTGGCAGGGGTATCTGACCAAGTTCGTGGGCAAGTTGCGCATTGGTTAAGTTTTTGAGAATCAACTCGTCGCTAACTGATGGCAGGAGTCTTTTGCGCCCGTCGCCCAGAATCCTTACGGTCGTGGTCTCCGGGACTTTCCTTGAGTGGGGGGCTGGGTGACGGGATGAATGGCGGAGGGGTGACACGGGGTATGTAGTCGATTTTCGTAGGATGCAGGCGAGGCGACGCACCAAGGGCATCGTCAGAGTCGTAAACGTCGTCCATAGTGGCAGTTTCGCAGAGTGCATCAGAGAATATTAAGGAG